ATATTGCCCAACGCCTCGGCGCACTCGTGTCTAACCATCTCATTCTCGCCAAAATCAGCCAAATTGGCGGCCAATTGGGCGACAGTACACGGCTTCTGCATCTGACCCAAAACGTAGGCCACTTCGTGCCTGAATAGGGCCGAGTCGGGGCACTGGAGCCCATTGGCCAGCGCTCGGGCCGACGCATCCGTATTCAGGTTTCTTAAGGCAAACATCGCTCGGTATCGCGAGAACAGGTCATTGTTGGCGTCCGTCAGCAGCGCCTCCAGTTTGCCGATGTCTGTCTCATCGCACCGGACGGCTGGCACCGGATCTACCGACTTGAATGGCACAGATGTGTCCATCACCCGCTCTTTGGTCTCATCCGACAAGTACTCAATCCGTTGTATCGCTAGTGAACACGTCTCGGACACGGATTTGTTGCTGTCGTTCAAGTATTTCTGGACATAAGAAGACAGACAATTAGCCACAGAAGTCACCGAAAGGTCCACACAATCGATACGTACCTTTAGGACGTCCAGCGATTGCCGGTCACCGATAGCTCCCAGCGCTTCCGCCGCCTCGTGTCTGACCATCGGGTGCTCTGCGGTGTTGGCGAGCACTCGGTTGAGGACAGGGATGGCGTGCGTGTCCTGGATCTGACCCAAACAGTAGGCGCACTCGTGCTTCAGAAGCGCCGACTCGTCCGCCAGCAGACACTCGCAGATCTGGTCGACACTACCGGTGCCGCCGATGTTTCTTAAGGTAAACAACGCCCGGAATCGCTGTCCTATGGGTCGGTTGGCGTCGTTGAGCACTCGCCCGATGGCCGACAACTGATCCGCGGTGATGGTCGACATGATTGGACGGTGTTTTGGCAGCGATTTGCCACTATTTGTGGTGAAAAACACGTGTTTTTGACACAACGTGTGGACGAGTCGTGTGAACACGTGTTGCAAATAAATAGCGATTTGTTTTGTCGGTTGTTATGACCGCTAATGACAGCACTGTTTGTGTGAAACCGATGTTTACGACAAACACTCAAAACGCCGGCAATTGAGTCCCCGTTTGCGGCTAAACTGTCGCTATTTATGGGTTTCGTTC